CGATGGCCTGCAAACTAATAGCGATGGCCTCCACCTATATAGCTTCTTGTTACTAGTAGCGATGTCCTCCAAACGAATAGCGATGGCCTCCACCCAGTAGCTTCTTGTTACTAGTAGCGATGGCCTCCAAACTAATAGCGATGGCCTCCACCTAGTAGCATCTTGCTCCTAGTAGCGATGGCCAACAAACTAATACCGATGGCCTTCACCTAGCAGCTTCTAGTTGCCAGAAGCGATGGCCTTCAAACTAATAGCGATGGCCTCCACCTAGCAGCTTCTAGTTACTAGTAGCGATGGCCTCCAAACTAATAGCGATGGCCTCCACCTAGTAGCTTCTAGCTACTAGCGACGGCCTCCAAACTAATAGCGATGGCCTCCACCTAGTAGCTTCTAGTTACTAGTAGCGATGGAGATGGCCTCCAAACTAATAGCGATGGCCTCCACCTAGTAGCTTCTAGTTGCTAGTAGCGATGGCCTCCAAACTAATAGCGATGGCCTCCACCTAGTAGCATCTTGTTACTAGTAGCGATGGCGATGGCCTCCAAACTAATAGCGATGGCCTCCACCTAGTAGCTTCTAGTTGCTAGTAGCGATGGCCTCCAAACTAATAGCGATGGCCTCCACCTAGTAGCTTCCAGTTACTAGTAGCGATGGCCTCCAAACTAATAGCGATGGCCTCCACCTAGTAGCTTCTTGTTATTAGTAGCGATGGCCTCCAAACTAATAGCGATGGCCTTCACCTAGTAGCTTCTAGTTACCAGTAGCGATGGCCTCCAAACTAATAGCGATGGTTTCCAACGAGATGGCCTCCAAACTAATAGCGATGGCCTCTACCTAGTAGCTTCTTCTTACTAGTACAGATTGAAGACATGTTTCCGAGGAGAAAACACACGGGTTACGTTGATGGCGTAGAGGAAATCAAAAGACACAAATGTGATCAAAACAGAGTCCTGGAATACTGTCGGTGTCATTCTTTCACTTCAGCGGTGTCACACTTCTTAACAGGTCAAACTTCGATTCCGGTGATTGGTGAATAGGAGAAATGTAAGCAATGTTTACTGAGCTTCTCTCCCGATGTCTTCCGAACGTGTTCAAGAGCCCGCCCCGCGACCGACACCCACGCACAGTTTGCACCAGAAGAGGTCATGACGATCATGGCCTCTTCCGCCACTCGGAATCAGAATCGAGTTAGCTTGAAGGGACTGACGTTGGAATACCACCTGAGTAGGCCACCTTGGAATACTGTACCACCTGAGTTGGGGTGATCAATCAATTCAGAGACTCCGTGGAACGAAAAACCACTCGGCCGACCCGCCCAAGAACCGCCCACACCGCCCTCCAGCCGAGCTGTCAAACCTTCGGCTGAGCACTGCGCGCCTTCAGCAGGCTTGCGCCTTCTCCGCTGCCATACTCAGCAATGTCCTGAAGAGTCTAGTTAGTCTAGATACTAGTTCGTTTCTCACTCAACGACTCGACCAGAAAGCCAATGGGTTGCACCTCCGTCGAAGGTTCCAAAGGGGCGGTGGAGATATTGCTCGTAGCAAGAAATCATAGATGGCTGTGGGTCAATACCTTGGCTGACCTACCTGGAAGGTCAAGCTACATGATGTTGGGGCTCCAGGTTTTGACCCATTCCCAGATTTCTTTCTCTTCCAGGTTTTGGTGAAGAGATGCCTCAGTAGACATCCCGGCGACGGTTTTTCCAGAACTGACAGACGGTGACCCTGAGCCAGTGACTGCAATCGAACAGATTTAATACGTAACCCCCTTGGCTTGCAACCCAGCCTCGCTCCCATGCATACTCAACAGAATGGCTCTTCTCCCCTGCACAGATTGCGACAAAAAAACGTTTTCCAAGCAATGCAGTTCGTGGTCTGTGCTGAACTTCAGCAGTAGCATCACGCTACAACCTGAAGTTCTCAGGATCCCGCAACATCGGTGCGGCCAAGGGCAGCACAAAGTCTTAGCTCGGAAGGTGCAAATTGAGTTGTTCGTTCTCGGAACAGAAGGGGAACCTCATCTATTAGCAAACCGCCCGTGGACCCTGTTGATAGGCTTCAAGCAGGGTCTGGGATCCCTCATTCTTCGCTCGACCGCATCAAGCATAGCTCAACCGTTCACGAGCATAGCTCTGCCACATGTTCATGCGAATTTGTGCACCGGGTCACCGCTTCACCGCAAGCTGGGGATGGGCATGTTGCCGAAGATGTCACGGTGCCTGGCCCATCGTTCGACGGACGAAACGGACGGTCCGGTCCCTTCTTCTACCTCGCGTCCGGTGGGTCGGCTCAGTCGGCTGGGTCCGACGTGCTTTTGGAGGGTGTCAAAGATTCTGTAGAGGAGACTTCTCCTCCAATTCCGAACGTTAGGAGAGTCGGCATCGGCGTGCAGGTTCGAAACACATCCTGCAAGGCAACCAAGTCCCAACTCCAACACCAATGCCCCCTCAACCGGCGTGCCGGTTTCCTCAAAAGAGCTTTCGACTGCTAATTTGCCAATCTCCACAGAACTGAATAAAACATGTGCCTCAACTGAATTAAACTGTGTTTTGTCTCACATAACGGTGGCCCGTGTGGGTGGTGAACTGGGAGCAGCACTCTGTTGCTCTCTCCGCTCTGCTACAAGGGAAAATGACACCCAACGGATTCTTACACAAAGCACCTCGCGTACATTGAGAGAAAGATGATGGTAAAGACCACACCGGCAACCTCAGTCTTCTTGAGTCTTCCACAGTAAAAACACTCTGCAGGAATGTGACTCCTAAATGTCTAGTCAGCAGGGCACACTGAAACAAACAAAACGACGCTAGATCAAGGAATGCACAAACCCAATCCCAAGTCGATAGAGGTTCGTCGAGTTCTGCTTGAGTCAAACGTCCGCTGTGTCCGAGGCGCCACGATGTAGATGAGGACAAAGAGAGCACATCCATCAATGCCAAGGATGTCAGATCGAGGGTTCTCTCCATACTTCTTCTTGAAATACTCAACCTCAAGGGGTCGCTGCAGGCCGTGCCCAAAGGGTCGCGAGAGAGTTTCAAAAACCCCACCAGTGCTATATAATCAAAATATCCCATCAGTTCGAAAAGCTTGACAGTCACATCTACCCTCCCTGGCATGACCACAGAACATGAAGGAACTCTGTTCCGCACAATGCTCGATCCAATGGGAATATCTGTCTGAATGCAGTCCAGGGTGGTTGGCAAATGTCGGTGTGGACCTGCTCACTCACTTGAGGTCATTGGTCCGTTTTTCAACTGTGAAAGGGAGGCTTCTGCTCCGCCGGTCGGGGCACGTATTCCTTGTCCAACTCATCGACATCTTCTTCCCCTGCGGCCTGCAAGAAAAGGCAAAGGGTGGGCAGATACCCTTCAGGCGAGTTCAAAGGAATCCCGACAAGAAATGGAGACTCCAAGAATGATGACTACAGTATATACTTCCGCACCACTGAGTATCCTTTCGAGTTTCACAGGGAGAATCAAAAGGGGACCACAAACACGTGCAAGTCATGGTCCAGGTTGGCCATTTCTTGAACACAAAAAAAGGGAGCTGTTGCAGGCATACTCAGTGCTTCTTATTTGGATGAATGGGACTGCGTTCCAGCCCAGCACCAACTAGGCGATTCCAAGATATCCGCAGTGAATGGGTGATGTGTCAGCCTCTCTGTGCAAGAACTGCCTCCCAAGGTGTGGCTCCCACAACATCCTTTGTTGAAGGAACCCCCAAACAGTTGAACACACTTCTGCGGACTTTTCACTGGTTTCTCTACCTGGGAAAACCCCTCAAGTCGTGTTTTCCCAAAAAGGGAAAAAGACCACGGCTCACCATCTGTCGACTGCTCAGTAGCTCCGCACACGCCTCTGCTTCTTCTTTCTTCTTCTGCTCAGTGTCCTGCTGCACCTGCGTCTCAGAGGCCGGGGGGGTCATGGGGGTCATTCACAGGAACCAGCGAAGGGCGGAATGACACAAAGTGATAAGTGACGGTCAATCGTTCTGTATCTTTCATCTGTTACGTACTTTTCCATGAAAGTTCTGTGAACCACCAACTGGTCGTCCAAGCTTCCGGAAACCCCTTCGAAAACATCCCTCGACATCCGCGGTCAGTGCGACATCGACCTGCCTTTCGGCGGCGCAATTCCATCTCATCTCCCACAGCTGAGGACATGGCCTGCAAAGGGGGACGTGGAGTCACAGAGCTGGTGGTGTGGCTCGTCCCATCTGAGTGGATGTGACACCCTTAACCTGGATAGCATCCCTTAGGGGCCCAAGAAAAAACCAGCTTGGGCTTGCGAAGAGGACTGTGTTTTCTTTTTCGGGCTTTGCTTCAGAACGGAGCACCCAAATCCATGGAAACGAACGGAGCAGCTCTTGTCCAGTCCTTCGTTTCTGGGGGAGTGCTCCGCCGGGCACGGAGCTGCGCTCATGACTGATAGGGGAGCTTTCAGCCGGTGGATTCATCTCCCTCCAAAAGTGCAAAGGCGCAGAAGCGTTCGCAGGTCGTTGCCTGGTGCTTTCTTCATCACTCGCATGAAGCGAACCTGGTGCTTTCTGACACACCTTGAAATGGACTTCTGGGACCCCCAGAAGTCAACGAATGACTCGTGGGAAAAGATCCGGACCTAGGCTACCTAGGGCCAGATGAGGACGACCAGACCAGCCTTCTGTTGCTTTGAGGCACCCCGTAGTCTCCAAAACAGCTATGCCTTGGATGTTGAAGACGACTTCAGAGCCCTCAAGGATAGATCAAAGCCCAAACATGCGCACGCCTTGGTGTGCAGCTGAAAGCGACCCAGGCCGGAGCAAAGCCCCTAAGGCTGCACTTGGAACTGCTCTAAATGTATCAACACTTGAGCCACTTGGAACTGGCCAGATCTGTGTTCACTTGGAAAGGCATGACAAGCAGTGCCAAGACCGGGAACAAATCCTGTTGTGCCATGGACTCACGCTTGTCAGGTCCTGGGACGAATCTCAAACCACATGTTATGTAATGTTATGTATAGATGATTGTAGATGGGTGTCTTCAAGGTATTGCAAAGCCATCATTGGGATATATCTAAACAGAAGAACATGGAAGAACAATCCCAAACCCTTCGTCCAAAAACATGGTTTCTTGTCGCCAGCCTAACCTGTGTTGAAGTTCTTCCACGGATTGAGATGGACGAACGACGACCCAAAAGGTCGCCTTCCTTCGCCCCAAGGGGGCCGTTCCCGCGGATTCCACCCCCGTTCCGAACAACACGATGGTCCCTCCTTCAGGGACATGCCTTCGAAGCCCTCACACTCAAAGGGCTCACCCTCCGGCGGTTGCACGTGGAAGCCTCAGTTGAGAATCGCCATGAACGGGTTGGAGGCCATCGCCTGTAGGTTGGAGGCCATTGCTATGAAGTACGGCCCCCAGCTTGTCGGACTCGGTCCGGACGAAACAAAGAGCCATCGTACCCGAGCACCATGAGATCAACCTACGGACGAACGAATAGGGACTGCATCCAATACCACCAACAAAGTACGTACAAGAGTGCCAGTGCGCCACACCAATGGGGCACAACTCAAGAATGAAGTAACCGAGTGGGGATTCCTGAAAAGGGCTTCCAAACCCTCCAGCCTTGGACACCTCCCCACCCACGCTTCGCGCTCCCTTTCTGGTCGCCGATCTGGCTTCGAAGGCCTGAACGGCCTCAGGGTCGCAAGGGCCCAAGAGCGCGGCCAGCTCCACCTGGTGGGTTCCGCAGGAAGGAAGGATCCAACTAACCCTGTCTTTGTTGGTCAGAAAGAAGCATAAAAACAAAAAGAACTCTAGAGGTCCTTTGAGTCAACTACTTGGGCAACATGTATATGAGGCAATTCTTGGGTGAGGGGGCTCAATACTGCAGCCATGTATGAAATGATTCGCACCATAAAATGATCCTTCTTGGAATACCGGGTCGTGGCAGGGGTGATTGATTGTGATAACAACTGTTTACAATATCAATGTCCTGGTCTCAAACCTCATTACAAAATCAAAACCTCTAACCAACCAAAACTACAGAATCAATACACTGAATGTCGACAAACACATCAAAGCTTACTACGAAATCTAGAGACCCAGGGCAGCCCGAACACATTTCTGAAAGAAACAGGTTTACAAAATTGCATCCTTCACATGCAAAACAATATGTACAGAATCATTGTCCCAACTACAATCTACAAATGTGCACTGTCTACATTCAAACCATTTCCAACCCGTTCAGAAGACTTAATAAAGCTTAATGGCCCATAGATGCCCATCTCGTATATTCTCTTATGGCTATCATCTGGTAATATGTGTTTCTTATTATTGTGTCTTCATCTTTCTTCCTAAGCTTGAGATATTGATTCCATAAGCTTGAGATAGCTTGAGCATGTCTGTGCAGCAACGCTCAAACGATGTCTTTTCAAAATCAATACCCTCAGGTAAAATCTCTTCATAATCATCCCCCTACTTGCAAAAGCCAGATTGAAAAGTGGCTTATCTAAACCATCTCTGATTCTACAGAATCAATGACCTCACCTACCCCTCCAGACTCATATCAATTGTTTACAAAATTGCATCCTTGGCCTGCATACCCTAAACAAGTCAGGTGTTAGCTGCGCAAAATTTAGCTGCTGTACGCACCCAGACCCCCATGATTCCGTAGAGGAAATTCCAACAGGGATATAAAATATCAACAGCAACATACAGCAACTGTGTTGAGCAATACGAGAACGAATTGAACCATTCCTGGAAGAAACAAAACTCTTTTTGCCAGCAAAGAGTACATACAAATCCCAAAAGTCAAAGCACGACAAGGCACGTACAGTGCAAGTCACGGATGTGTACAGTACAGCAATCCACGTAAAGGTTGACTGGCTGTTGGCTCAAGAGCTCTTCCATCAAACAATACGTAGCTCAGCTCATCCCGAAGATAGAGGAATCGGTTCATTTTCAAAGTCAGCCAGGGTGCCTGGGTTTTAACCCACAGCGAACTGTCGCATTTCCCCCAGCTTGCAAAAAGGAAATAACTCATCATGCTTGACAGCACTCAAGAAGAGAAGGGTTTCCCAAGATTTGCTTGAGATTTCGCACTAAATCCCATCCATTTCCTCAAGACCAATCACGACCCGCCTTCGTGTCACCCACCCACCTCCCAGCGGAAAGTCTTCCACTCAGTGGCCTCTGCTGGGAAGTCCTCGTCTTCCGCCTCACTTGTAGGCACTGAGACACTCACAGCGGCTTTCAGAATGGTTCAACTGATTCCGCCCTTCTAGAAGGAGGCAACAAAAGGGACCTGGTCCAGGTTTCGTTGACCCAAGCTTTGTGCCAGTTCGTTCTCCCATCCAAGTCGCATCAAACGTCACTCCACGGGGGCCCGAAACGGGCCCGAACAGACCGTCCCTTCGGTCGGTCATGGGCACTGTTCTTCGCGCGGAAATGCACCGAAGCACACAAGTCAATGGAAGGGTACTGTTCGCTCACCGTGATATGGTAGATACATGGAGCGCCAGTTATGAGCCACACGCACCTTTGAAAAAACCAAGCGCTCTCCTGAGTAGGAACCGTGTTGAGACCATTTGAGAGCCACATCTCATCTATCTTAGCCGACTTGCATCCGCCTGAATGGGTCTGGCTCTTTTCTGCTTCTCCCTGGCCTGGCAATCCAGAAAATATGGCAACTGTCGGGAGCTGCTTTCTTCGTGCTCATGCTTTTAATGGCCTTTCCATCGGTGCTTTCCCAAGGGTTCCAGTCTTCTTTCGTCCTCCAGTGACGTCTCGCCCGCCCAAAACGCGAGCTCGTCTCGGTTGGGGTTCCGAAGTCCAAAAGCCGGGCCTTCCATAACAAGACCTGAAGTCGCGCTGCTTTCAGCCGCGCCGCAGAGTTGGCAGGTGCGCCAGGTGCGCGTGAGATCGCTTTCAGGCGCGCCAGGGTGAAGAGAAGACATTGAGCAGGCTCTTCCTGAGACAGATCGAGGCGACGGATCTTGACCTACCCCGGTATTTTTGAGGCCCGCTCACCCATTTTGGCCCCCCCATGTCCTGTCCTCTGCGGCAAAAGCCCTGAGAGCATCCACCACCCAATGTCGCGAAGCAAGCCCACATTTCTCCGCCTGCCATAGCAACAGGAGAGCTTCTTGGCTAAGACAAACCTCCTGGCCAAAGCGCGGCATGTAAAAATAACTGAATTGGTGAAGACAGGTTAAGATGTCTTTGAACCGCCTTTTTATGAGGCAGCAAATCAGGACGGGAATCCCGTTATATAATGGGTTTGTATGAGGCAGTATATCGAAGGAGTCTTTGGGTCTAGACAACAAGTTAAGTCAATGAGTCGAGGTCGCATCCAGCCAGCAAAAACAAGAACATCTTCTTTTCTCGAGATTTGGCCACCGTCGATTCAGCCAGCTCCCCGAAAGTTCTTTTGCAGGACCGCGGTCACAGCAGCATTTCTTCACCACAGCTCCACTTTCATCCACTCTCCTCCAGAATGCTGTCCCCCGCCAGGGCCGTGGCCAACTGAGGAGTCCTCAGCCTTGGCAAAGTCTGCGAGGTTCTCTGCCCTGCGTCTCCCGCAGAGTCCAAGGGTCCCATCTGGCTGTGGGTCATGGCACCAGGATACCATGGTTGACCTACCGACGTAACTTGCGCATCAATCCCGAACGCTTCCCAAGGCCCTTCATCATATTGATGGGTCCCTGGGAGTTGGTGAAATTTCCCACGGGCATGGGTTTTGTACCCACACACCAAACTACAAATTGGCAATTGCAAGAAATCGCCGTACCCAAAAAAACACCCTAACTATGTGAGACCGAATCTCCGCATGGCACAAAGATGGCGGTGGATACGAACGACGAAGACAAATTAATGCATCTAATTGGGTAGCACGGGTGGAACAAGGTCATCCAAATTGCCCCCACGATTCCAAACTTCACGGAGTTTTTTACGAAAATGGTAGCACTGCGAATATTCCAGATTGACCATGGGGTCTACTGTAATCCTGACATGACACAAGTCCATGGGAACAAGACCTAATGGATGGTAAGGTGGCTTAGTGCCCAAGTTCTTTGCATACTTTTGTAGAGTCTTCTGTGTATCATCCGAGTTAACGAATTGCGGCCTAAGCGGAAAACCACCCGTATAAGTACGTCCCCATCCAACTTGAACCAGGCTACTGGAGGCAGTTTTATGAAATTTCGGATATAATCGCGTGCTACAAAAACCCTGCAAGTACTGGATAATAATGCGGATTGCATCTGCTTGTTCACGAAGTGATCGTAACTTGATTGGAAGCGCCAAAACTTTTGGGTCTTGGAAATGGTGAGGGCGCGCTCGAGATCGATCAGGTGGCTTGATCCAACATGGAAACTGAACACCTGTTTGAAGAATAAAAGCAATTGCCAACTCATGCCATGTGATGCCCGATTTCGTTACATCATCATGATCCCCGTCACTTGAGTGACATGAAGAATTGAAGGACAAGGTGGGAATAATCGGCTCCCCAAAGGCATGCTCGAAATACGTGTGGGTGAATATCAGGTGCAGACAGGACAAGGGGATGACTCACACTGTGAATTGCCCGAAGTTGGTGAAGTGTGCCCCAGTTTTGGCTTGGATCATCATTTTGAATTTCTGCGTCATCACGCTTAGCTTTTTCTTTACATAAGACATGCGCAATATTAAGATCATGGAGATAGCGCAGGACTTGCATTGACTGACGTATCTGGGACTGGTTCCATAATTCAACTTTAGCGAAACTTTGTTGATTTGCCTGGCTATCTGTTTTACGAGCTTGGACTGCTGCCATATGGTTGACCTACCGACGGGAGGTCATTCGCTACATGGTGGACTGGTCGGGCTCCAGGTTTTGACCCATCCCCAGCTCAAGATCTGAGGTCGTTACCAAGACTTGTGGCTCATGGAACGGAACTTTTTCGAGCTTTTGAACTCCCGTCCTAGACCACCTTGGCCTACCCTCAGCTCAGTCGTCCCAGTCACAGCAGCTCGGCCAAGTCCTTCTCGGGGACCAGGAACGAGGCCGCCTCGACGCAACTCAGCGGCCCACACGAGGCGCAAGCCACACAGGCCGCCTTGGCGGGCACGGAGAAAGTCTTGTTCAGTCGAGGAGAGTCTTTTGGGGAAGACCCGAACGAGAATCGCAATCACGCGTCCCTGTGATGAGGCGAGCCATGGAAGAAGAGGTAGAGATCGTGAGCGATGTCGCCAGGAGACGAAGGGACACGATACAAAACCACCACGGCAAGACCACGAAAATCAGATCTATATACAGTACTCTTTGCTGCTGCCTGCTCCTTCATGCTGATTCATGCTGTCTATGTCTATGCGTGAATAACACAAAATTCAACAAAAAAAGTCTCATGGCAACTAGACGAGCTTCCCCAACAACCATCCCCACTCCAAGGCACCGGCTCCTCCTCCTCCGAGCACAGCTCCACCACTGCTCCCTTCAGCTTCCACCAGCCACGCTCCGCGCCCTCCGCGCCCTCCGTGCCCTCCACGCCCTCTGCGCCCACGCAGGTGGCCTTGGGCGTGGCAAAGGCATCTCCTGGGTCGAAAGGCCAGGTCCGGCGGTGGGCACCGAGTGGCTTTGCTTTCACCCTCGCGGATCAGGAAAGACTGTATCCATCGATCGGAATTGATAGGGTGTATCCATCGATCTCGTTCATGTGCCTCGCCTTTTTGGCGTAGAAAGAGACCTTTGGCGATGAAACTGCAAGCTGATACAACCTGATAGAGGCTGACTGCAGCACTGCAGACTCCTAAATGTAGCCAACCCACTTAGGCATCCACACTCATTGTTTCAACGCAAAACATGCAATCGACCTACTTTGCGCAGTGTTCCATCCCCTCTGGCTCCCACTGGCGCTCCATCCAGCCTTGACAGCGTGGACACACGAAGACGCGCGCATCATCCCATTGGTTGCCTGCAAGTCTGCTGACCAGGACCTGCCCCTACCAAAGCCTCGAAAATGAGAGGCTTTACAGAGCTCATCAGAGCTCTACATCTACAACTGCTGCCTTCCACAACAGACACCCAAGTTACTGTAAACGGTCTCACTTTCCAGACTCAAATCGGTCTCTGATCCGATCTGCCCAGTTGCTGCAGCGTTCGCAAGTGCAAACGAATTCTTTCGTGATCTCCAAGCGGTGCCGTCGCTCCAGGACCGGAAGCCACAGCACGCCCGAGCTCAGATAGGAGATCTTGAGCTCCATCCCCTGCAGCGACCCTCACCGACTGATCGCAGACGGAGAGTCACACCCGCAGAGCTCGGAGGGTCTTGAAGTCTCAAATCAATCAAACCTTTGAAAGCAGTATCGATCAAGCCTAAGGCGGCTACCCTGGATCACCCCTGCGCTGTGCGGAGGAAAACCACGGGTTCAACCGGTCTCGGGCCACCCGTGCCCACCCGATTCCACTGGGATCCAGGTCCGTTCCCAAAAGGGTTGGGGGCGATCCAGTGATCAGCTGGGTGCGCCTGCTGGATGTGCTCTCCTGCACGGAGCTCAATGATCTTCTGTTCCAGGTCGAAGTTCCAAAAGGCATTGGGAGAACAATCATGAGAGCACATGGCCGTCAGCAGCGGAAGAATCACCCACTCTCCGCAACGTAAGGAGTTGAAGACCCAGATCTTCAGCAAACGCTCCACCTTCAATGCCAAGCCTCTCACAGGCTCCCGCCACAAAGACTTCAGCACCTGAAAGAGGAAAAGAGAACCACATCCGAACATCAGGCTTCCACCGGGGCTCCCTAACAAGAGCCTAATAAGGGCCCCCTTAGAAGCCTTAAAGGTCAAGGGGTGTTCATTCACCACCCCGTGAGGAAGAACTCTCTCCGGATGAATGGCCCAACTCTCCCAGACAAAACGATGAGTAAGGGCGGTCACAGCGTGATCAAGGGCACGCACCACCAGTCCTGAGCCCCAACAAAGTCCCCGCCATGCTCGTGCGCGTTCCAGTTTTTGAGACGCATGCTTCTTCCACATGGTTCATCTATGTGCCAGGTCCTATCACCATCATCCTGCACCTGCCGTCGTCACGCCCAGGTGCCGTCGTCACGCCCTCCGACAGCTCTGTCTCGCGCAGAGGGGCCCAGAGCTGCAGCGCCAGCTCTTGCACTTCCAGTGAGACACCTCCCTGGAAGGCGCCATTCACCTGGACCATCCCAACCAAAGTCTGAAGAAGAAGAAGAAGGCGAACGAAGACATGTAAATATGAAATCATCCCATCTCACGGTCTCCCTCACCTTTTCGTAGCCTCCGCGTATCGCGTGCCCCGGGGCTGCCGCGAAGCACCTCAGACTCGGTCAAGGTCTGCAAGGCAGCCCAGTAGAGGAGCGCGGGATATCCGAGCAGCGCCTCCCAGCCTGGGAGCAGTGCCGAGCGCTCGGCTCGAGCAGCACGGACGGCTCGGTGTCACTGGACAATGGGTGAAGGACGGCTTCTAAGAGGATGCTACCGGTTGTCCTGAGGGGGGACGGAATCATCATTAAGGGGGTAGGGATGCTTGAAGTTCTAAAGGTGTGATCCATGTTTCTGCAAGGCCGGGACGGCCGGGACCCTTCCAGTTTGCTAGATATGAAGCCTAAAACAGCATGATGACTGGGTCAGCTCTGCGAGCTTCGATGTCTCGTCTCGAGACTGTCTCGTCTTTCCCCGAGTGGATGAGTCGTCAGTGGCTCCGACCGCTCCACGTAGATCCAAAGGTCAAAGGTGGCCAACCAGTCCGGCTCTCAGCACCGAAATGAGCGATGTCCGAAAGTCTCCGCGGTTCATGTGAGCCACAACTGTATATGATTCTTACTACATTATAGTACATAAGTTACTTCTCCTTCCGTTCAGGTTGACAAGTGTCGTTTCTCTTTTTGGGGATAGTCATGTTTGGTGCATGAAGATCCATGTCAGTTACGAGTCTAAGTGAGACAAAGCCTTCCTGTGAAAGCCGGCCAGCTAGCCAGGTCCATCCTTTGAACATATCGTGAACAAATTTGGACAAAACCACCACGGCAGCTTTTGGAAAAGTGAACCACGCCAAGGAGGTCAAGGTAACCCAGTCAGCCCTGCCTCCAATCCAGACTTGTTGGATCCAATAAAGATCTCAAGAGGAGAAAATGTAACGTCCGTCCGCACAAACATTATGAAACTAAAAGAAAAAGACACCCCTATCTTGAAGATGTTGAGACTTGAGTGCTTGACATGACATCCATATAGGATCAAGGGTGGGGCTAATTTGGCTCAACTGTCAAGAGCTGTTGTCATTTCACCAGTTGACTTGCGCCAAGAAACTGTCCTCCATCTCCAAAATGACGCTGCATGCCCTTGATTCGTCCATTGAGACACAAACCAGCGGAGCTTCTGAGAGTGCCTTGGCTTGAGAGACATGCCATGGATCCTCAACCCTCGGCATCACATGGTCGAATTTTGCTGATGGTGTCCAAGGCGCTTAACAACAGAAGCTTGGAAGATTGGGCCTGGTGGAAACCAATGAGTAAACCCTCTCCCAAAGCAGAATAGGCAACTGGAGAGGAACATCGTCTAAGTCTAAGCCTCTAAGCCATTGGTCCATCTGAGTGCGTTGTGTCAAAACCGCCCGGGCCCAACTCCTCATCTCTGGCCGCCGAGGCTCCACCTGCCCTTTCGTCAGGTCTTCGGAGGCGATCAAGACCCGGCCCTTCCGCGCATCATGCCCTACATGGACACATCCTTTCCTGCGACCCACCAGGGGGGCTTTCGGCCACTCCATGGCTAGCAGTTCCCTCTTGACGGGCTCATGGAGGGCGCCCTGAGCCGAAGATCCAGCATGGCAGAAGCCGAACATCCTTCCCCTTCGCCCGGGCCCCGACCCCCCCCTGGAGTCGAAAATCCCTGAGCAAGACAATGATTGTTCGGTGAAGCCCTTTAAAACAACATTGGTCGGAATCCTAGAGTCATGAAATCTATGACTGCCCCTCTCAATTCAAATCTTGAGGTGTCCCCCATCGTCCCTCATCTTTAAAATGGTCCCATCAACCTTTCCGGGTCAGGATGGTCTGACTCTGGATGTCTCATACTTCTACCTCCACACTGCTCCTTCTTGAAGCAACTCGGGTGTCGGTCAGGGTATCCGCCGCAGCCTTTGGGATGCCGGACGCACGAGTCTCTTGCCTTCTTGCAAATGCAACTCCTGCCAGTCGTTTTCTCGAAAAGACCTGGGGCTGATGGCTCCACAACAGAGCCGGAACTTAGGTAAAGGAGCACGATCTTCCCTCCGGACTCCAGCTCTGTCCAAACACTGGTATGCCAGCATGTCCTTCGTGTCATGCCCAAGCAAACCAGAAACTGGTACCACCTGCGCGACATGTTTCGTCCCCTGTCGTCGCATCGCTGGAATCCTGCTCAACACTCTTGGCTAAGGAATGAAGTCCGGCATCTTCTCCGACCTGCCCGGACACGTTCTGCAAGACTTGTGCTGAAGAAATGCCAGAAAACGAGGAACAACTGGGGAATGTGGACTCCTGACCTGATGTGACAACTTCCATGCCAAAACCTAGAGTACTTCCAAATCTCTCAGCCAGGGCCCCTGCCCCATAGGAACCATCAAAAACAACCAAATGATTGGCTGGCTTCTCACACGGCTCACACCATAACTTGGGGTGGGTCAAAACCTATTGAGCAGCTGATCCAAAGCTGACGCTTTTATCAGGCTCCACGCTCACGGCTCCACACGGTTCTCACAGGCGATCAGGCGCCTCCCATCGCCCGGCCATCTCCTGCACGGTCGCATAAAGCCGACCCTGAGGGATGCCAGCACCTGGATGGGTGACCACAGGCGAGTGGTGGCAAAGCAGGCACAGCAGGCACATCCAACCAGTTTCACAATCCGCAAATATTGAGGTGCTTTTTCATTCTCCTGGCACCAGGAAGAGCTGGTAAAGGAAACAGATTGCAGACCTAAAAGAATCTCAGCGGCATCCTACCACCAAACATGCTTTCCTTCACGCATGCCCCTGAGGGCACCAGGCGACTTCAAAGCAGCCATGATGCCATCCGCGATGGCAGGCGTGTAGCCTCCTGGGCGGATCCTAAATCGATCCCTCCCACCAAGGGATGGAGCGATTTTGTTCGTGAATCAAGAAACTTTAGCAGGCCACGTGTGCCTGTCCCACCCCGGCTGATGCAGCACCACTTGCTTGTGTGCCTGGCGGCCTCAAAAATCAGATGTTGGAACCAACAGATCTGATTTAGATGAGACAGTTCCTCCAGCATTCGCAGAGCCAGACCGCCGCATTCGCCCGGAGCTCGGCTTCCCCGCGTTCGAGCACAAAGGCTCTGGCCCGGTCGTGGTCGGTCTGGCCCGGGCCTCCGGAACAGGAGGAACTGGTACTGAAGAAAACAGAAAAAACAAAGACCACAGCAGTGCGATCGTTGTGGATCATTTCAACTGGATCTTCAATTTGCGCTTTACAAACTAGGCACCAGCCCGGACCAGCCCCATCCTCCCTCACTGTCCAGACTCCTTTCAGTCCCGGATCCATTGGAACCTCCGGTACTGAAGAACCTGCATTCAAGGCGTCGCCTGGAAACAGGCGCCGAAACAGACCGAAGATCACCAAATCAGGCGCCCGTTCAAAGATGTGACTGATACCCCCCCCAAGCAATGTCTGGAGGCCCGCTTTGCTCCTTTATTTGGTATGTGTCTTGCAAAAGGTCTCCCTCTCTTATACACACCCATCTAGGCCCCTCAAAAAATGGCATTCGCCACATTCAAACAAATCAAGTCAAATCGGATACTTGTTGATGCCGAAGACTGCGCAGACAGTGGACATTGTTGAAAATGTTTCCACGCAGGAGGACGGCAAGCAGAAACTCTGAAAACAACTTGTTACTGTAGACTTTTCTTTCGCAAAAAACATGATGACAACCACCGTCGCCTAGGCAACCCAAAGCCGCGGGTGTGTGTCTTAAGCGGGGCGACCTGAGAGGAAACATGTGCAGAATAGATTAAGACTAAATGTGTTGTCATTTTGGTCCCGATGAAGCATGTCAACTTTATGGCAAACCAAATATATACGTCGGAACAACCAATTCAATGTCACGATTTGTATGCAACAGCACCCAAAATGTCACCACAACACACTACATGTATGAACAGACTGCAACACTCCGAAATCAACATCACCTGTCAGCTGGAAGTTAATGGAAGTGTCTTGATCTGTCAAGCAGACCAGACTTGATACAAGAAGAACAAGCAGTGCTCAAGCCAGTTAATGCAATTTCAATGTGGTTTTCGATCCGGCCGTCTCAAGCAGGCGCAAAGTTGCTGAAACCTCAAACAACCCGTCCTGAGGTCTTAGCTGAACGGTGCCATAGCTGGAAAAGAAACGCCCGCATTGGTGGAGATGCCATGAATCAATGTGTGCAAACGCATCGTCACTTCCAAATTCCACACTAAACACTGTCTGTGCCAACACAGACCGTTGAACGACTTTTTGATTCTGATTGTAGGCCTGTGGTTTTTTCCATCTATACAATTGACATGAAAATTCGACAACTGCCACGTCAAACGTGAAAATCAACTGTCCACCTGGATCAACATTTTCTGACCGCAGTTGGTGATCGATCTTCACATGTGTGCTTTGCTTGAGCACGACACCTGGTGGTGCGTCCATTCCGTGCATGTCCGGTGCAGTTAACCGTTAACCAATTGACATCAATGAAAACAACCATCACCATGCTGTTGCAAAACCAAATGTTCTCACTGATTTCATCATCCAATCAGGAAAGGTACTGTCACTGTGATTTGCGATCTGTGTGATGCAACCACCCGCAAAAAACAAGTTCATTCACAGAACACAAACCAAACAAATGAAGCACCTTGTCTCGGTTCGATGTCCCTTAAACTCACATACCGACCTACAAGGTGGGCGTTGTGAGTTTAAACGATTGTGTTTTAACCGCGTGGGTGCCATCCGAAACGTGAGCGGCCAATCCCAACAACATATGCGAGTTGGAAAAAAATATCACGGCGTGACAACGCGACATGCAACACAGCAAATTTCATGGGAAAACAGAAGGACAAGGTGGAGATTGAGCAAACGGAGGGCAAGAAGAAGACCACAGAGCTCAAGGAGAGCACAAAAAAGAACGCAACGAAAGAAGGAGGACCGGAGATGGGCCAGCAACCGCGTCGAGCTGGAAGAAGGACAAAAAGAGGAGACAACAGGTAGAGATAGAGTTCACTTGCGCGGACAGGAAGTGGACACCAGCACTCGACATGCACCATCTCCGCATTTCCCGTTTGAGCATCCGAGTTTTGTACAGTTGCCAGTTCAACTTGTGAACCACCATCACCACAAGCGCCGACCAAAAAGGCTACTTGCGGAAGCATGCACAGCCGACTGCTAAAGATGCAGTGGCCAGTTGACACAGTGTGTGAACCTTCACTTCTTGCAGTTGACTGGTCAAACACTCCCTGACGCACAACATACCAAAGTCCATGCATTGGTCACAGGAACACAGAGCAGTAGACCCGTTTCTCAATCTCCCTCTGGGCGTGCATAAGATTGGCCTCGCATCACTAAATTCTAACACATTGACATAGGCAGGAGATGACAATCAGAACACCATCGAGTGACAAAGGAACAGCAACCCCGTTTTCCTCCTCTACATGCCACGGGATTCTTCAAACTTTCAAGATTTAAAGGTCAGGTTCCTTCACTTTTCAAAACACAAAACCAAACAACAAAACAACAAGAAACAGTTTTTCCATTGTTCCGCGCATTATGGTCTGTGTGCGAAAACACGGATGCGGCAGCTTCCCTGTTCGATCCTGCTCCTTGAGCCAAAGTCATAGTCATTCAAGGCTGTCTCAAAGTTTGTCCAAAGTTTCTCAAACTCTTCTTAAAAGAGTCGGGACTGTTCAGAGTCTTCTCAAACACGTCTCAAACCTACCAAAAAGTAAAGAACTATCTTCAAACAATCTTAAGAGTTCTCAAACGATACACAGCTCTACCAAAAGCTTCTCTAGACACTCTCCAGCCACTCCTGGTCACATCAAACCTTCTCAAAGGTCACACTGCCAAGTTGGTCAAAGCAGAAACACCGCAAAGGACCAAGAACCCAAATCAGTTCCAACCCCAAGTCATCAAAAACGAAAATCTACCCAAGAAACAAGCACTAGGTGATCCACACACTGTACAAACAGGCTTCGCACTATCTTTCACACCCCTTCTTGGGTCACAAGGTGCTGCCTTTTTGTCTCTCTCTCTTCTTCTCATTTTTCTGGACAACTCAGCATCAAACGTCAACTGAGGTCCAAACTCCTGTCGACCAATCTTCCACATGAACTCAATCAAGCTTAACTCAGGTTCAATCAAGATCAACCAA